TGCCATCGGCACAGACCAGCACATCAGCAAACGCTTCCTCAAGGGCAGCATGGATGAGTCCTGCACCCTCTGTCCCCATCAGCATTCCCTTCAGGGCCTACAGTGCTGCACTCAGGCTGTCCCTGCAGCTCTATCCTGGGAAGCACAAGGAAGGTCTCCAGCGCACACCAGCATCCAGGGTGGAATGCCATTTAGCCTGGTGGGACCATTTGCCTGAGCAATCTAGTGGCCTTCTATAATGGAGGGATTACCTGAGTGGAAAAGGGAAGAGCTATGGATGTCATCTATCTATCTGGACTTCTGTAAGGCCTTTGACACGGTCCCCCACAACATCCATCTTTCTAAATCAGAGAGATACGTATTTGATGGGTGGACGAGGAATGGGTTGGATGGGCGCATCCAGAGGGTAGTGGTCAATAGCTCCATGTCCAGATGGAGACTGGTGATAAACGGTGTCCCTCAGGGCAAGTTTGCAGATGACACCAAGCTGAGTGGTGCGGTTGACACACCTGAGGGACGGGATGCCATCCAGAGTGACCAGGGCAAGCTCAAGGCATGGGCCCATGTGAACCTCATGAGGTTCAACAAGGCCAAGGGCAGGGTCCTGCACTTGGGTCAGGACAACCTCCAGTATCAGCGCAGGCTGGGGGATGAAGGGATGGAGAGCAGCCCCATGGAGAAGGACTTGGGGGGACTGGTGGGTGAAAAGCTGGAACCGCTCTGCTGGGAGGACAGGCTGGGAAAGCTCCGGGGGCTCAGCCTGGAGCAGAGAAGGCTCCGGGCAGACCTTCCTGCAGCTGCCAGGGCTGAAAGGGCTGAGGTGAAAGATGGGGAGAGGCTTTTTAGTAGGGCCTGTAGCAACAGGACAAGGGGTAACAGTTTTAAACTAAAAGCGGGCAGATTTAGATGAGATCTAAGGAAGAAATTTTCACAATGCAAGTGGTGAACCCCTGGCCCAGGTTGCCCAGAGAGGTGGTAAATGCCCCATCCCTGGAGACATCCCAGGTCAGGCTCGACGGGGCTCTGAGCAATCTGATAGAGTTGAAGATGTCCCTGCTCACTGCAGGGGGGTTGGACTAGATGGCCTTGAAAGGTTCCTTCCAACCCAAAGTTTCTATGATTCTGTGACAGATCCACCTGGCAACTGGTTTGTCCCCTATCATCCCTGGTGGCCCCTGCGCTTGTTCTGTCTGGTTCCAGCTTGCCAGCTGCCTCTGGATGCTGGGGGTGGAGGGGGAGGCTTGTGGTGTCACTGTCTGTAAGGGAACTTGTGGTGTCCCCAGCTTGCACTGCCTGGCTGCAGTGCTCTGCCAGAGCAGGGGCAGCTGTCTCCAGAAAGATGTCCTCAACTTGCTCCCTCAAGCCTCAGACAGAGTCTGAGGCTCTGAAGCTACTGGAGGTGGCTCAGTACTGGCAGCTCAGCTCCTGGCCTGACCTGCTGCTGTACCTCCTGCCAGGTCCTTGAGTGCCAGTGCCACCAGTTCGTTGCCTCCTGCCTCTTCAACACCATCATGGGCAAGAAGCTCATGCTGTTGGATTTCATCTTCCAAACACAAGGTACTGACTTGGCGAGGGGGGAGGAGGAACAGTTGAGCTGAGCCTTTCCCCTGCCTGCAGTCATTCTTCAGTCACGATGAGCAGCCTGATCTCTGCAGTTCCACCTTAGAGTAACAGTGGGAGGAGGACTTGGATGCCAGGACACAGCAGAGCTCAGCTTTCCCTCTTGGCCCAGGGAGTCATCCAGCATTCCCATCAGCAAATACCGGATAGCCATCTATGGCCTCAGGGTGAAGAATGAACAGATTATGCAGGACCTGTCCCACTCCACCAACTCAGCTGAGGGCCAGTGCACACCTGTGGTGGCCAGGACCACAAGCCACTGGTGGTCCCCAGCGTTGAAGCTCAGAGCAGGTCCCCAGTGCCATCCCAGGCCTGGCAGTTGTGTCCCTGGGAGCATCATCCTACTGTGGCTGTGCTGGTTTCCACCTTGTCTGCTCTCCCTTGCCCACCCATGCTGCACACAGAAGGACAGGTTGGACTTGGTGTTGGCATTGAAGATCTCCTGGATGGTCTCCTCCTGAGATCTTGCTCAGCCTGGTCTTCATTGCTTCAGACCTCTAGGACACCTGTGTCAACACTCATGCCATTGTCATCTGCACATCAACGTTTTCAAGGTAAGATGCTCCAGCCTTGTCTATGGTAGGCTAGGGACTAGTCCTCTTGGATGTCAGCTCTGCTCATTCCCCTCCCCCGTTCCTCAACCTTTGGCTCTGATCTGCCCTGTGGAGTCTCTACCTCACAACTACCTCCACCCCAGCTGTCACCAGGATTTCCCCTCGGCAGAGCCCCTTGGCACTGTGGTCAGAGGGCTGCTCTCAACCCCAGTTCCCACCCTTGGTAGCTCCCCTCCGGTGTTTTTCCAGGAGCTGGACTATGAGTGAATCTGTTGGGCCATGCTGGTGCCCCCAGGGTCTTGATGGCTTGTGCTTCAGGTGGAAACCATCAGCAAGAGGATCAGGCAGTGCCACCCCTTTACCACCACCACCACCATCATTCAGCTGTATGTCTATGTCTTCCTCCCATGAAGAGGATGAAGCTATTGTGTTTCTGTAGGTACATCTTAAGACAGCCATGAAGATCTGGTTTATCTGTATGCAGTGGGTGCTGCTGACTGGTGGATGCAGATGGGTGGGCTTCTCAGAGGGGTGGGGTCATGGGCTCGTGTCTCATTCCAGACTATCCTAACAAAAAGGTATGGCTGCTTTGTGAGCTGAGGTGACCCTTCTTCCAGCCCTGCTCCAGGGCAACCATGATCTCCCATGTGGTCCTGAGCCACACCAAGGCTGGGACACATCCCCAGGGCCAGCATAGCCCTCAAGACCCTTGGGGTGCCTCAAAAGGCACTAGTAGACCTTTGGGGGGGGCCACAGAATGGCCCATGGAAGTCCCAGAGGAGGGTGGTCACAAGAAAAGGCACCTTGGAGCTCCTGCAGTCCAACAAGAGACACTTTGAAGACACAAGAATTCCCTTGGGACACTCTTGTGGATGCACAGAGACGGTGAGGGTCCTGGTGCATTTCAGGAGGGACGCGCAGACCTCCGGGCAGTACAAAAAGGCACTTGGAAGCACCTGAGCGTGCACCAAAAGGCTCTTGGAGGATTCTCCTCGAGCATGTTCAAAAGGAGCAAAGATGTCACTTGCGTGCTGCCAAAAGGAGCTGGAGGATCCAGATGCATGATGTCAGAAGGTACTGGCAGAGCTCTGGGAAGCAGAGATAGGCACACAGGGCCATTCAAGGTGCTCCAGATAGATAGACTCAGAGCCCCATGAACCACATCCTAATGCTCTGGAAGACCTTTGGGGCACTTCAAAAGGTTGACCAGGGTTGCGCACGGAACGGCCCTTGGAGGACACATGAAGGCACTTTGGAGTCCCCTGGTGTTGCACGGCAAGGCTCATGGAGGTGCCTGGCCACCAGAGGGACATATGAAATCCCCTTAGGTGCACCAAAATGCACTGTGGACCCTGGTGAGCTCAGCAACGCCTCTGGAGGCCACCAGGGGCTGACAGCAAGGCACCTGGGTCCTTTGCACAGAAGGGAATAGCAGAACTATGTACTCGGAGGCAGCCAGGTGTGCCCCGAAATGTACTTGGAAGCCCATGGTGGACATCAGAAACCAGTCATAGACCACTGGGCATGCTGAAAGGCACTTGGAAACCCTAGAGAAGAGCAGAAAGGCACCACAATGTCCCAGAGGTGCACCCAAAGGCACTCAAGGGCTCATCAAGAGGTGCTCAGAGGAGCCTGGGGCACTCAGAGAGACCTCAGTGAGAAGCTGGGGACACAAAGCTCTGGATGCCAGGGGCTATTGCTTCCCACAGGAGCAAACGCTGCCTTCAGAGGCTCAGCAGGCTGTGGGTCCCGAGCCTGGAGGCTACAGGATGGATCCACGTCCCACCCCTCCCTTCTCCTGCTGCTGGAGAAGGCAGGTTTCCTGGTGTGGGGGGAGAGCACGGAGATGGCGCTGGTCAAGCAGGGAGCTGAGGATGTGGGAGCAAAGGACAACATGACGCAGCCAGTGCTTTCCAGGCTACTTTAATACCAAGTGAACAGCATGCGGATGGACCTTCTGGTGCCGAGGAATCATTCATAGACAGCCGGTAACCCCATGGCTGCTTCCCCATAGTGCACACAGCCCTGCGCCTCCCAGAGCCCACAGACACGCCCCCAGTTAAAAAGCAGCTCCACCAGCACATAGGACATCCCCCACTCACCAGGACAGTCCCCATGTACAGCCCTGTCCTCATCGAAGGCTGTTCCTCAGGAACCAGGCATGCTAGCCGAGGCCATGCAGAATCCCCCCGTGAGCCCAGACAGCCCCCAAGTGTCTCCTCCACCTCCCCAGCTGACGCTGGCAGCTGCTTCTTCTCCCAAGACCTGCATCGGGCCCCTCCACCGCAGCAGAGCCACACAAACAAACTTAAAAGAAGCCAAACTGGGCAGGTAAACCTACTGCCCCAAAAAACAGAACCGTCCCCCAGGGCCAGCCGGGGACAGGGCAGCTGTCCCGGACCAGGCCAGCAGCCCCATCCTCCAGAGCTGGCTCTCAAAACAAACCCAGACAAACTCAAAGCAAAGCTGGAACAGGACCAGGTCCCCAGCAGGGCTTGCACGCCGCTCCTGCAGCCAGTGGCACCAAGGCTGGTGGCTCAGGTTCAACTTGTCAGTGGGCATCCTGCAGCGGAGAGGAAAGCATCAGGCTCTGTGCGGTGCAGCGGGGAGCGGCACCCCAAAACCCCATCCCCTTACGTCCTCTGCTTCCAACCAGGAATCCCACCCGGAGCTGAGCCACCAGAGTCACACCTGGGGAAGGGGGGTGACAGCGTTTCAGCCCTGTCTGCCAGGCTGGGTCCCCCCACACACTAGAAGTGCCAACAGCTCCACACTCCCAGGAGACGATCTCCAAGACTTTGAGAAAGGCAGAGGGTTGGCACCGACATCACGCGAGGACTCACCGAGCATCCGGAGAACCTGCAGCGCCACTGCAACCTTCGCCTCTTCATGCCCGCTCCTGCCCGGCCCGTCCTGCCGGACCCACGTGAACCCACTGAAGGGCACAGGGCACCCTGGGATCACCACCCGGCACCAGAACCGCAGCCACCCGTTGGGGTTTGCCTGGATGCACTTGGTGAGGAACACAGGGGTCCCCAGGTACTGCCTCCGGCACAGGGCGTTCAGGTGGTCCAGTGCGTTGCGCAGCACTGGAGACAGGGGTGCCTGCTTGGGGACCCCCAGGCACTTGCCCCCTTGCACCCGCCTGGAAGATGGCTTCTCCTCACCCAACTGCAGTTTCTGCTTCAGATCGGGGTTCAGCCAGTCCACCCTCATCTCCAGCCCACCGAGCCTCACGTTCCCTAGGAGAGACCGGCAGCAGCTGGCAGGAGATGCTCACGCACCAGCCCTCCAGTATCACCCCATCCCACCCTGTCCCGTCCCCCAGCATCTGGCGCAGTGAGCCCCATGGGTGGTCTGGCGCTGACCCACAGTGTACGAACTGCACAGGAGCCTCTCCCCTGCCTCCGTACAGCCGCAGGGCAGATGCTTCTCCATCTCCTTTTGCTACCAAGCTGGGCTTGGGGCTGCAAAGCTCAGGGGATTTTAGGGGCAGCCTGCCTTTAGGGACAGGTGCAAAGACATCAAAGCCAGATGCTTCTCAGCTGGGGTAGAAACAGGTACAAATCAGGACTTCGGAGGTTCCAGCTGGATGTCGGGAAACAGTGTCCCATCAGAAGCAGTGCAATCATGCGATGGGGCAGAGGGGCAGGGCATCTCCGTCAGGAGGGTTTAATAACTTGGCCAAACCTCTGGATGCCCTGGACTGCTACTGGTGATGCTCCCGCTCTGAGCAGACATCTGACTGAAGACCTCCAGCAGCCCCTTTACCCCACCACCACTAGGTCTGCATGAAATCTGCCAGGGATCAGCCCTACTGAGGAGAGCTGGCCTCCTGGGGGACACAGGGAGAGAACAAAGGATGTCTCACAGCTGAAGTGATGCTGCAGCTGAGCCTGGAGATGGGATCAGTCCTTGCTTAGAGACACCGGGAAGACTAGCCCAAGCAGCATCCCACAGCGCCCAGGCCTCCCACTTACCTTCCATCAGGGTTTTCTTGGCCATGGCAGCAGCTTGGTGCGAGCTGTATTTCAGCACAGCGAGCTGGGCCCATTTCTGGCAGGGGCTGGCATACAGGGTGACACTGAGGACGCCCTCCGTCACTCGCCGCAGCACAGCCTCCAGCTCCCGCCGGCTCACTGAGGTAGCCAGGCCGTCCACGCTCAGCTCGCACTTCTCCGTGCTCTTGCACACCACAATGGCGCAGCCCTCCCGCACCTCGAAGTTGTTGAAGGCAGCAATGGCTTCCTTGGCACTGCACCGGTTGCTGTACTTGGCATAGGCAAAGCCCCGGTTGAGCCCGCTGAAGGTCATCATGAGGCGAAACTCATAGAGCTTGCCCACGCTCTGGAAGACCTGTGGCAGCTTCCCGATGAACACCTCTGTGCCAGCCGGCGGAGGGTCGCCCACCCAGCCTGCAGGCAGACAGCGACACGATGCACATGGCTGAGACCCACCTCGCCTCCGTGCCCACCGGGCACCCTGCGTGCCATGCTCGCAGGGCACCACAGCGCTGAGCCACCCTTCTCACATACCTGGTGGGGGGCCACCGTATCGCCTCTGCCCATTGATCTGCACCAGCTCGATGCCAGTTTCTTTTGTCCAGGCGAGCAGGGCCATCTTATTGGCCTGGTTGATACTGTTGGTCCACATCTGAGGAGGGAGATGATGTTGGTGTTTGTCTGGGCAAAGAGTTTCCAGCCTCCCAGCTGGAAGCATTCCAACCCCATGAAGCAACCGCAAGGCCCAGCACCAGGGAGCACGTGGAGGAGCAAATGCTGAACCCCTCATGTCCTCAGGAAACCTGAGGAGCCTCCCAACACTACACATCTAAAGGACTACCCCTACCCTGCTCCTAGATTGCTCCACATGACTAAGTCCAACAACTTTGGTAGAACACAAGGACACCAACAGGTCTTCTATGGATGCCTGCAAGGGCTTTTGTCCTGATTTTGGCTGGAATAATTTTCTTCCCAATAGCTGATATAGTGCTGTGTTTTGGATTTAGTATGAGAATAATGCTGATAACACACTGATGTTCTCAGCTGTTGCTAAGTAGTTGCTTATACTCAGTCATGGAATTTTCAGCTCCCCATGCGCTGCCAGCGCAGAGGTGCACAAGAAGCTGGGAGGGGGCACAGCCAGGACACTGACCCAGGCTGGCCAGAGGGATATTCCCTATCAGATAACATCACGCTCAGTACATAAACTGGAGTTGGCCGGGGGGCAGGAATCACTACTCGAGGATGGCCTATCCATGTAGTGAGCAATCACTGCATTGTGGATCACTTGTTTTTACATATTCCTTTATCAGTAATATTATTCTCTTTCTTTGCTGTCCTACTGAAGTGTTTTTATCTCAACCCGTGAGTGATATTTTTCCAAGTCTCTCCCCCATCACACCGTGGCAGAGGGGGTGAGCAAGCAGCTGCGTAGTGCTTAGTTGCCAGCTGGGGCTAAACCCCGACAGTTTTGAAAGCCAAGACACAGGCAGCTGGTTGGCCCTGCAGCACAGAGCCAAGGTGACCCATCGCCTCAGGAGATCCCACACAGGCTGAGGCCCCAAGACAGACAAATCTCTTCTACCAGTATCTCCTCAGGCTTCTGGGCACATCAAGGAGGGTCTGGAGACACCATCCATTTAGCAGCATCATCAGGTTTTAGCTCAGTTAAGTACTGCAAAGTCTCATTAGAGCCTCTGAAACTGCATGCTGAGTGGGATTAACCCTAGCTCAGGCTAAAATGCAGTCTGGCTGCACCTTCACCTTCAGCATCTCCAGGTGCTAGCACTTTTCTACCTCCACAGGATTTTACCTTTCCTGAAGACCAAAAAACACCTCTGGATGAAGGTGGGGACCCATACAGAGGACATCTCTGCTGAAGGGGCGCAGAAAGACCCGCACACCACAAAGCTCCTGCCATGGCTCTGCAGCGCCCAGGG